GCATACTGATGTGTAAGTGGTTTTTATGCGTATTTGGTCGGCAATGGTCACTGTTGTGTCTGGATACCGGTATTTGGCCATGGTTGTACAAACTCCAAAATATGTTGAAGGATGGCAATGTTCTGCAATCTAGGTTAGCTAGGTACCGTGTAACTACACTGTAGGTAACCCATCCATGATGGGTTTGGGTTCCAGACTCCCAAATCAATGTACTGTACATGTACAGACCGTACTTTCAGTAAACGCCCAGCCCCATTCAGTTCGGAAGCGCCAGACATACATGTATGCAGCGCCACTTCCCTCCTACACCACAGCTCATGATGGAAACAGAATTTCCAGTTGTGTCAAAATCTTAACATAATTCATGAGCCTTTCACATAATTTGTTCAAAATGCTACCGTAGCATGGAGGCACTGTAGGAAGCTTGCCATGCCCAGAGCATTCTAAGAGGAGTGCTCTATGAGTGCGGTATGTACATGTACCACTCTGTAGGATATGGAGTGTGTGACTGCAGAAATCACCATTTTTAGAATCGTTCATTTTTCACCGTGTCCATTCAGCCTGAGGAAAGCTGGTTCTTTACCTCGAAAGAAATTAGCAATTAGGATATGGAGTGTGTGACTGCAGAAATCACCATTTTTAGATTCGTTCATTTTTCACCGTGTCCATTCAGCCTGAGGAAAGCTGGTTCTTTACCTCGAAAGAAATTAGCATCTAACCTACTTTCAGGTCGGCTGACGTCTGCGTTTCTCCTGGCCTTCAGTACTTCATGACAACCGGGGCCCTTTCAGCTTTTTTTGAGGGGGGGAGGCAGGCGAGGCGAGGGTCCGGCACATACCATTTTAGTCGTGTCCATTACACGCCCATTGAAGATTTCCGAGCCGTCACCACAATCGCCCTGCTCACTGATACGCGTTAAATGAAGCCGAAAGCTGGCCTGTGTCAGAGTAGGCCGGACAGGGATCAGGAGGAAGGAATGGGAAAAAAAAAAAAGATCTGGGGGAAAAAAATAAAGGGCTTAGACGACCGAACCCCAGAGCTGGTTTGGTGTTGATGCGTGTGCGTGCGAGGCTCAGATCGGCATTGTCTGTGACAGAGATGATCACCCCACAACAAAGGAGGAGGTTTTCATTTGGTGAATAGTGTGGGTTTTTGGACGGCTTAGCTTGCTGTACACGCATGGGTGTCTACAGAGTGGAACTGATTACCATTGTGAGGTGATGATGAAAAGCTGCTCCGCTTGCATTGGCAAAATTGAGTGGGAATAGGCTTGTACATGTACGGGTTTGGGCCACGTGCGCTGTACATGTAAGTCTCTAACGTGAATGCACGTGTATGTTTATGTCATCTCGTCGGAAACTCTTGCATTGCTGAAATGAAATGCAGTGTGTGAAAAAATATGCACACTGTGCGTTAAAGTGTACCTGCAGTAAATTTTTCTTAGACTTTGTTCTCACCTTCAGAGTGTGAAAACTCTTTGCCATCCCTCCATGTATTTGGAAAGTGCCCTTTTTCAAACACTTCAACTGATCCGTGCTCTCCTTGACAACTGAGGGCGCTGTTGCTGTGACGTCAAGCATTTTACACATACATGTACGTGTATTTATTCCTTTAAATGGCAGTCATAGGGTTGCTTCAAAATGCACACTACGGGCAGCTGTTTTAGAATAAGCCATTTGCAAGTTAAATTTGAATAAAATCTGGTACATTGAGTTATCTGATTGCACATAAACCATAACGATTTGAATTCCCCAGACTAAAGACACTGTTGCTATACCTCGTGATTCGGGGCAAGTTTTTGCTTAGTTACATACATGTACATGTAAGAGACGCCTTGCAACAATACACTGTTCTCAATGGATAAGAACGGACACAAAGGAATCAATCCATTCCAGAGATGGTGGTCACTATGCAAAAGCTTGCCCCGAATCACGAGGTATAGCAACATTGTCTTTAGTCTGGGGAATTCAAATTGTGACGTTTCTATGCAATCAAATAACACGATGTACCAGATTTTATTCAAATTTAACTCGCAAGTGGCTTATTGAAGAAGTGCATATCATGTGCATTATGTGTGCAAGATGCAATATGATATCAGCAGCGTAATATGTAATCATTTTGTTTGTCTGCGTATATTTCTTGTTTGGGTAAACCTCCAGCACAGTTTTTGGGTTTTGGGAAGTTGATTTTTAATTTGACATACTGTTGTGCTTGTATAAACTCTGCCTTGGAAATGATTGGTCCACTGTCATTTTTTTAAAAAAGTTCTGTAAATGAAGAAGTCATACACAGTTTCTTTGAGCTGTATTAAAGGAATGGATATGCTTGGCCCGTCTTAAATAAACATTCAAGGCTGGATTGGGAGAATGGATGCTGATAATGCCTGAGTCGAAGGCAAGGAATGTCCTCTCTCAGCGTCATCCATTCTCCTGAGCCATACCTGGTACATGTACGTGCTCAGTTTGGATATATGTAGTAACATGTATTGGCGAACTGTTACCGACTACCCTCCCTGTAGTGTTGCACACTTGCAGGGCACCGGTGCATCTGGCTGTTGGGATCATTACTCATTTTCCCTGGCCCCCTTTCTCTCCAGCCGATTAGAGTTCGCCTAGTCTCGCTGTGAAGTCAGACGACCAGCAAATACACATGGGACGGTGCCAGAGAGTGAGGCACTGGTGCCGTCATTCAGGGGCGAGACGCGAAAACATTCCAAACTGTCAGGGGAAGATTGAGAGAAAGCGGCAACACTGCGTGGATGAGGACAGACAATGAATCATTATGGATTAGAAGCCATGCTGATGTATGCATACGTGTGTACATGTACTGTACTTGTATATTATCGCAATGCTGGTACATATACCTATACTTTTCCTTATTCACAGTGCATCAGAGCTGTAGGCAGCATACTTGTGCATGTAGCTCACCTTGAGAGTTGAAGTTGAAACGGAACTAGCACTTGATAGCGCTCTGTACATGTACCGGTACATGTAGTTTATTTCTCTTTTGGGCAATCCATGGGCTTGCATTCTTCCTGCAGGTGCTGTCTTTTTAATCTGTAAACTTTGTACATTTGCCTAGGAAATAAATAAATAAAAGGTAAAAAGTGTGAAATGCATAGCCCAAAATGCAAAGAGCTACAATTTGTTGTCTTTGAAGTATGGTAAAGATTCCGCGCACATGTACTGAAAGTTGGTGTAGTTTATCACAGCGTGCTGTGCAGTAGTTCATGTCAGCAATATGAAGGTTAGGAATGTGTTGTTTATCATTCAAGGTGCCTGCTTCAGGAGGGTATAATATGTGCTAGGAGATCCTGAAAGTTGTTTTTGGAACCCAGTGAAATCCTTCTCAAAGGGCGATGGCCCGCAGAATTTCCCTGAATGTGTGAATGGATCCTTCAGCGTGATGGCACTTCATTGCTGACAAACTGAACAGAGTCCCTGCCGATGATCACAATGCATATTGGTTGGAACGCTATTAGCGTGCAGTGCTGCCACGGAGCATTGGCTGTCAAGGCAATCAAAGCATATCCTTCCCCCCCCTCCCCTAGACCACGGATTTATCACAGCAACTCAAGCGAAAGGAATCGAGGATGGCAAGTCGTTGGTGGACGTCCCAAAGTAGAGAGAAAAGATCCGACACTTGTTCAGTGGGCGGTCTGTTCGTCTTGAGAGAATGGGCCCCTGTTGCTTGGAGAAGCCAATTTGCCCCACTTTGTGCCAGGAGGATATAAGGGGGTTAATTATTCTCCCCCCCAGAAAGGAAACGCTTCACCCCGACGACTGTCTCAGACAAGCAGCTGACCAAATCGAGAGGAAGATTTTGAACAAATTGAACCGGTCAGTTTAAGTGGAATCGGGGAGAGAAACTTTGCAACAACCCAGGCTTGGCGAAATAATTCATCTTCAGCTCAAGCAGTCCACCATTGTGAAGTTGGACACCTGTCTCCACAAAGCTAACAGCAGCTGAACTGGACACTGTTGAATCCGGCAAAATACCACAGAACTAGCGCCTGGATTCTCGTGGATTTGATGCAGCAGTACACGATGTACACGTACATGCTCGTGAATTGTATTTAAAATTGAAGCCAAAGAATTTGTACATAAATATGGGTAGGATTTCAGCTCTTGTCAGTTATACATTTGTGTCATTTTCTCCCAAGGACCAGAGTGAACGTGATTCATATCTCATATTTTTGATGAATCACGAAGGATAAATGTAATTTGAAACTAACAGGGAGCAGACATTGGACAGCATTTCTGCTGTACTGTACATGTACGTGTACTGGGTATATTGGTACATGTATTTTTAAAGAATAATTCATCCTTTTTTACTGGGATTTGAATGTAGCCGTGTACCTTGGACAGATGTGTTGTGTGCATATGTATGCTGTATTCTTTTGAATAGTTGGATGACTAGTTATA